CGAACTTGTTGAGGTATTTTACATGCGGTTGCAGACCTTTGTACTTCCTCGACAAATTACTCGCGTTGTCATACGCCTGGCCCCTGCAGTCTTCAATCGAGATGCCATTGCTTCTCAACAGACACATCACGGTTGCGAAACTATACAACCCTTGATGCGATTAAATCGGAACAAATCCAAGAAAGCGTTCATGCACTTCTCCTTTTAAACAGTAGCCTAAGACAACTGACATCTGGTCAACGTGGGTAAAGTCTGGATTGGAATCAATTATTAAAGAGAAATATTTTGCCAGTTTAACCTCGTCAACAAGACGGTCTTTGACGGCGTTTGCTATAAGCTCGATACATTCGTCACAAACTGCTTTTGACAGGTATGATGGGTGGCCTTTGCCCTTGTTTCCATGGCGCTTAATGTGTTCGCCCAGAAAGGGATCAAACTGGGCAATGGCTTCAAGCACTCCCATATGATTTCCATGTCGCGGGGAACCAAAAACCTGCTCACTTCCCCTAAACGCTAAGCTTCGTTCAGCTGAAAGCTTGACAACGACGACCACGCGCTTTAATACCTCTTTTAAGTAACCGGTCTGGGTGGCTAAATGCTTGACGAGCTCCTTGTCAACGGTATTGCCCGAATACGAGCGGAATAGCCATGCCGCCACGAAGTTCCTGTGTTCGACACTCTTTTCATGAGCGCAAACCTTTTCCTCTCCTCTTTTCCAGTCACAAAAGCCATGCCTGGTGAAGAAACTCAGGTTGCTCGGGGTTGAAAATAGTTTGCACATGAAACAATAATTGACTTCGAGTAAATTAACCAATGCCTCTCGTGCGCTTCCCCATCTACAACCTTTCGCGCAAAAAGAACAGGTGACATATAGCGTTTCTGGCTTTTGTATTGTCTTACGGAAGACAGAAAAGTCTGTTCCCTATTTTGAAAATACATCGAATCTCCCTTCTCGATGCATTCACCCCGAAACCGGTCAGTACTAACAGCCAGCCAGTTAGCTGGGTCACGGGCAGTCACGGAGCCTACCTCATGCTGCTTGTGAGCTGCCAAGTTTCTGTCCAAACATGAAGGCAGCTGATTCTTTTTCTCGAGACCCACGTCGTGGCTGGCAGGACGATGATCTAAACTCTCAGGGAACAGGTGAGAGGGCTCTTGGAGTGTCGTTTGAAGGAGCTCGTCAGCAGCAGGAATCTGACCGGGAGGGTTGGGGCTCGTTGATCAGCAGCAGAGGAGATCGGATAGGGGAGAACGGACGCCTGGAGCTCGGCGGTAGGGACTGGGCCAGGTAGAATCGACGTCGCTTGCCGCGGAACAGGACAGTGCTCAATCGACGTCTGTTAATCACCAATAAGAATTGGTGAAGAGGGCATTTTTCGTTCAGGATCCGGAGGACCAGGAGGAGTAGATGCTTGCCGCTCATCAGGAAGTCGAGGGCAGAGCGGAGTAGACAAGGCTTTTGCAGGAGCGGTGTCTGTACTAATGCTACTGTGAATTTTGAAATTATGACTCTAGGTGGAGCAATCGTGCGACTTCGCGGAAGCTGCATTCATTAGATATTTTGTAATTTTTGGTTGTTTCTTCTCGTGCTCTTCTCTCGCTAACTTTTTCTATCGTTTAGAGGCACCAGTTTGGTGATTCCGACCGGAGATCTCGGGAAATTTCGAACTCTTACAGACACCTCACTCAACATGGAAACTTTAGCCGGACGGTTTTCATTGGTGGCGCATAGTTTTTTCTTCTTTTTCCATATGAACGACGTCACAGGTGATGAAACGAGTTGACCAACGAAACGTAGAATACATATAATCTATACCACTGCGTTGCATGTGCACGCCCTTAACCCAGTAGAGCCAAACAGAGGACAGCGGCTGGAGATTCATCATCATAACGAACAGGACGTTCCGTGCGCCAATAAAATATTGAGAATTATTCCTATATGCGCCGTCTCGGGAAGAGTAAAATTCTCCATCTTAATTGAAAAACGCTACGTAGACTGCGAATGAGAGCCACGTGTGCCTTCTCGTGAATAGGGACGTGGCTTTTACAATGGTTAAGGAAGGGATGTTTGGGACACATCTGGTTCTAACCAGAACATTTTTAATCGGAGGAATTTTAATCGGAAGGCAGCCTGCAAACGCGGTACTGAGCTGAAAGACGAGGCGGCAAGAGAACACTTGGAGTGCTGAGTGCTCCAAGCGGCGTTATGCCAACGTTTTTTTTTTTTTTTTTATTAAAGTAAAGATCCGAGGTCTTAAAAGCCCTCCGCAATGACAACAGTGGCCTGGAAACTATACAGACACCGAGCACCCTCGCATCTGTTTCTGTTTCTCGAGGAGCGGCTCATGTTTTCTGTGCTCAGCTTCCCCCGGCAAGTCGAAAAAAAAATACAAATATGAAATCGTTTGTCAGTGTTTAGCGTTGCTAACGTTTGTGCAAGCTTATGAAACAACTGAAGACACATGCCGATGCAGTGTCTCTGTAATTATTCGGCTATCGGTGGCGCCGCCGGAGCGCTTTCCGCTCCCGTCAAGACAACGGGGTAATCAGAAACTTTTCCCAACAACCACAAAAGGCTCCGCGACAATCCACCAGCAAACGCGGACTTCATAGTGGGACGGGCAAGAGTTCCCCTAGGATGGGGGACCCCCTGAGAGGCGGAGGCCTCGCTTCTGCAAGTGCTGACAAGGTCACTCGAAGTAAACATGCTACAGGGTCATTAATGTCAGGGATCCGTTCTAAGCGGTAGATGCACAAAAAACAAATATCGTTACAGAATTTTATCAAATGCTTAAAGTTTATCAACCGAAGCTTGTTTCAACATAAATACAAAATACAAATGTCCACGAGGTACGGCTGAAGGAGACCAATGCGTCTCCTGACGAAACAATCACCTGAGGTTCGAACATGCGACTGCAAGACCTGCTAATAAAAAAATAAATACAAAAAATGTACAATACATCTATATGTTCACATAGCACAAGCGCAGTGCAAGGGAAGCCCACAGCTCAAATATAAACAATAACAAGGAAATCAAAATGCAGACGATTTGATGTTACAGACAGGAAAGGGGTGATCATTGTTGACTTGCTGTTAAATATTCTAATTGTTTTTATTAGGTATAACTAAGCGTAAACAAAAAAAAAGTTTTAATTGGTAGATTATTCTTTATTTTTGAGCACGTTCAATAATCAAGGGTTCATATTGCATAAGGCTATAATTTGATTGGTAATAGTTTGGGCACCATAGTTAGTCCGGGACCTGGACCCAACCAAGCATATGGCGCGTAGGTTTATTCTATGTTTCTTGATATGTCTTTGTTCGCAAAATAAGTAAAGTCGTGTTTAACTTTGTAATAGATTAAAGTAGCTAGGCAGAAACTTTAGAGCTCATAAAATGGCAGTGACGAGTTTCTTATATATGCAAATGTTAGCAACAGTTCTACGAAGAAACATTCTTTGGAGGACCCTTTCTGGAAGTGAAAAAAGTCGATCTGAGTCAGTCTTATTGCACGTACCCCAGATTAGATGAGAACATAAAAGGCGGGAGTGATCTAGGCAGAAGTGTAATTTTACACTAAGTAGTAGATGTTTTAGCCGGTATATTACATCCAATAGATCTAGCTATATTTATCAGTACGTTGTTATTGTGATCAGTTCGATTTAAATCGGTTTTAAAGCAAACCCTTAAAAACTTGCAGGTGCTTGCTTGCTTTATTTTAGAACTGTTGATACGCAACGTTGCGTCATATTGTAGAGGCTTATTTCTCACGAAAAATTATAAAGTTTGTTTTCTTTACATTTACTTGTGTGATAAAGAAGAAAGTTTAACCATTATTTGTTTAGTTTCTTTTTAATGTATACAGTTCTAGATAATCTCTAGATAATCTAATCAAAATGAAAAACGTGTCCGTCCGTCGTTGCGTCCTCCCGCTAAATCTAGCGAGAAAACTGATGTCACGTGACCTATACACGAACTGAGTTTCCTAGGTAATTTTATTAGAATATTTCACATCACAATACCTACACATGAATAAACTGTATGCGCTAAACTTAGAGGGAAATTTTACCTCACGTGACCTATATATTAATTCAGTCTTCTTGCGAAATTTAGCGGAGTCTAACTTACTTCATGTGGCCTAAGTATCTACCTGAGTTTCATGCCAGTTTTTTTAAGGCAATAAATAAACAATAGGTTTGCCTTCAGTTTCAGAAACGGCTGTGGGATGTCTTTCGAAACGAATTGAGAGGGTAACTTTTCAATTACTGTGTTTCATGCATTGTAAAACTTTGAAGGTAAAGGTCGTCGTCAATGTTTTGTAATGGAGTTGAAAACTGCGCTAGTTGGTACTCGGTAGACATGGTGAACAAAAAGCAGCGCAAATGACAAGGACAAAAGAAGGAAAATACACGACAGGCGTGTGAATGTGCGATACGTTGTTGTCTGTCTTTTTTTTATTCATATAAGTGAATGTGTACCTTGCGTGTTTGCTTCCTTTACTATAAGTTAAAAAAAAAAAAAACAGTAGTTGCGAGTCGGGGCTTGTCCTGTCCTGTATGTTCCTTCTTTTGTCCTTGTCGCTCGCTCTGCTATTGGATTTTGTTTACCATGTATAAGTCAATTTTTAGCTTCACGGCAGTCGTCGCTTCACTATGGTTTTTTCCCACATGGGAAGATGAGTTAATGTGAAAAGTAGAGCAGGAATTAAGGAATCTAAAATTTACAAGGTGGTGTACTACCACCACTACAGAGATCGTATAGAATTTAAAGGGAAATAAAGACTCGATTGAAAACTGAGCAGTTCGCTTTGTCGGACCCAGAAAGTAGAATACGACGAAAAAACCGGTGCAGCATGAGTCTGAATTCTAAAGTTATAGAAAAGTGGCCGCTACCGGAAGGATTTATATTCGGCCCGCAACTGAATGAGACAAAGGCAACCATAATTGTAAAGTAGAGCAACGAGGTACATAATTGTTTATTTATTCTGAGATTACAAGATCGTAGCGTTGCTTGGAAGTATCCCCGTCCTCCTGATTGTAACGCCTGTAGCGTTGGCGCCGCAGTCCATTTCAGTTCAGAGACTTTATTTGCCTTCTGTAGAAACATAAATGTAAGGGATGAATTTAGTTACAGAAAAAAACAAAGCTATAGCTTCATTTGAAAAGAAAGTTGTGAACGTGTAAATGGAAATGTATTCGCCTTAAAATAAGCTGTGCATATTTTTTATGTATTTCGTAATAGTCTCTTTTGGGAAAATTATATTTTGTAGTAGCTCCGCCCTCCGCTGCTAGCCAAGTGTAAGAGAAAAGTGAAGGAAGAAGAAAAACAGGCAAAAATGACGTCATCGTTTGTGTGAAGTGACCGTTGCTAGCCTTTCACTATGCTCGGAGATGTTTCGACGATGAAGTCACCATGTCTCTGACAGATAAGACGCGGTTAACAGGTTCGGCCATTACCTGTGGCAATGAACATTGTTTTCCAGTAAACGTCTGCGCTTTCGTAGGCCCACTCTCCTTACCTTGTTTTTTTCTGTCGCGATTTTCGAAGGGGTGCCAATGTTGGTCCCGCACGACCAACATTGTCATCACCTATCCTTGTACGTATTTTGTCTTTATGGCGATTCTGTTTTGAGTACCGGTATCATCGGGCATAAAAAGTATTGAAAACTGATAAAGCGGAACCATGTCAACGTTTTCTGAGGGGCGTATGTATGTTGGGCTGGTCTCCAATGTAATGCGCGGGCAAATTCCCAAATGGCTCTCGTTACTAAAAAAATGTAAAATGCTGCCAGTCGTTCAAACTAAAAGTTGATAACGGTTGCGACTGTCCAGTTTTCGTGTAGTTATCAAATTCAAGAAATATTACATGGTAGACAACTCCTGACACAGTTTTGTTGATGTTCGAAGTACTTAAGCTTCTCTTTCGTATTATCTGTAGGATTTACTTTAGGCATGCAACAACAACGACAACAACAACTATCCCTGTTCTAGATTCCCAGGCAGGAAAAAGTAGAGAGCAATCAGACGCCCTTAAGGTGCATCGTATATATTCAATAGAGTCCCACTTCTCTTATTGGTTACAAGTACAGTATAGAAAAAGTAGTGACTATTTCGACGTTCACGTTAAAAATAATTTAAAAAATTATTTTGAGGTCTGTAACGCCACTTTCTTGAGACGTGACAATACTTCAAATATCGTGTTGACGTCCCCCGTCGAAATTTTTCTTTCTCCTCTCTTAAATTCCTCAGTGTTACGTAGTGTTCGCACTTCCATTTATTACGAGCGTGGAAAACAAAGGGTTATTCAGCTTGCCTTTGTCTTAAATTCAAAATTTTAAGTGAGACCCGTTCAGAAATGACATCCGAAAGCTAAGAGCATCACCACCGGGCGTGTCACGTCCGAAAGGATCAACTATTGAGCCAGTCACACGTACACGTTGAATAAGACATTTTCACTGCCGACTAAGACCGAAACCTCTTAGGCACGCAATACATGGCTCCGTCAACACGTCAACACAACAGCGACGACACCGTCAAAAAATAAACAGAACGTAACCACGAAACAGCTACCGTTGCGACGGCTGCATTGACGAGGGACGTCGAAATAATAAAGCCACTATTTTGAAGTTTTACGAAAGTGACGTGACAGACGTCGAAACCATGTTTGATATATTCTGACGGTGGACTTCGAAATAGTCACTGCTTATAAAAAAAAAAACTTTCTCTGGAGCATTGTGCTTTGGAACGTTCGCATTAAAAAGCGGCAACATGCAGCGAAGCTTCAAAGACAAACCACTAAAATCAGTAATAGTTATTTCTATTGTCGTGTTGATAATCACAATGGTAACATCTTAACTATCGACTCCTAGTGACATTTTCACATTTTAGCTAAGTAATTTTTTGGTATATTTAGTTTTGTTGCATGTGCGTTTATGGGATAGTAGAAAGCAGTTTTTAAAGTAGCGACAGGAAAGGCGTGCTTGTTGGATCTTCTTCATTGGTGGTGTTACGCGCTAAAGGCAAGAGGCACACCCCATTGTGGTTGATCGTCCAGGTTCAGCGCCTTGCTGTAAAGAACTTCTGCTCTTAAACTGGTGTGTTTATTGGGTAGTAGAAAGCAGTTTTTAAAGTAGCAGTAGGATAGTTGGGTTGAAGTAGGCTTTTTAGGCAGGGTCACGAGACCGAACCATGTGAACGTTTGAAATTTTGGCGGGCTTATTGGTTGTGTGGGCAGAGGTGTACCCAGGCTTTCTTGGTTTGAGTTTTGGTGGAATATTTGTCGTGGGGTCGCGCTGTGTGTTGGCGGGCAATGGTGAATACGCGACGGAAGAAGGATGCGCAGCCTAAAGTCAAAGAAGTACCCGATGTAGAATGTGGGGTGTGTGGCCGTTGGTGCTGCATGATGGAGGCGGAGTTCAAAACGGTAGCAGAAGCCGAGGGGAGCGGCTTTACATGCAGGAGCTGTGAGAAGGTAGAAGATGGTTTTAGGAAAATAGGAAGAGAATGGGGCATATACGGTTCAGGAGTTGAAGCGGGAGATACGGGTAGAGCGGGAGAAGCGGGCTCAGCTCGATTCGCAGGTCGGAGATTTGAATAAGAGGGCCGAAGCGGATGTGGAGGAGATGAAAAGGTAATGGGCAAGCGAGGTGGAAAGCTCGGCGGGAGAGCTGAGGCAAGAACAGGAACAGCGAGCCGAGCTTGAGAGACAGGTGGAGGAGTTGAGACAGGGGGAGAGTGAAAGGCGGAGTTGGAGGAGCATAAGAAGGAGTGTGAGGATATGGTGCAGCAACTGACAGGACTATACTCCGTTTGACCTTCAGTCCGAGCGCAGTGGACGCCACGAGCCATCCCAGCCGATCCAGCGCCGGGAGAAAGTCGCGTGACCTGCCGGTGGGGCGGGGCGACACAGGGAGCTCAAGGTCGCATGACACTCCCTCAACGCCGCATTGGCTGGGATGGCTCCTAGCGTCCGCTGTGCTCGGACGGAAGGTGAAACGGAGTATAGTTAATAAGGAAAAGGGGGAGGTGGCAGAGAAGACGGCGGTGGGGGCGGCAGTCCCAGGGGGCCAATTAAATAGTGACGAGGTTGCTGACAGTGTGGGAAAGGAGTCTGCCCAGCTGTATAGTGCGGAAGTACAGCAAGGTTCGAGGAAGGCAAAAAAAAGCTGAGGCAGAGAAAGCACAGATAGCTGGAGGGGGTGAAAACAGGCAGTCGGGGGTTAAGAGGGTGCTGGTGGTAGGGGACTCAAACATAACAAGGGTTAAGGAGGGGCTGCTGGGCAGGGTGAAAGGGGATGGGAGGGTAAACGTATTGGCCCAGTCAGGAAAGTGCATGGTAGACGATATGGCCAAAGCGAAGGAGGAGGTGTGAGAAAACAGGAGGGAGAGAACCTAGCAGTAGTACACGCATGACCAAATTATCTGTTAAAGGGACGAAGCCAGAACCTCGGCAGACAGATAGAGTTGAGGTTACGTAAATTGAGGGAGGTCTCTGAGATAGTGCCTGTGCAAATATCCACCATCCCAGAGGTCTGGGGACAGTATTTGCAGATAGAGAAGCGGGTGGTGCTAGCTAACCGGGTGACAAGGGCGTTGAACCGACGATTTGAGTAGGGAGTGATGGAAGTTAATAGGGTGGCGTACGAGGCGCGCTCCAACTCTTTTACATGCGGCATCCACTACAGTGGAACCACTGGTAGCACGGTAGGCGATGGAATTGGACATCACATCGTACATTTTCGGGGGGGGGGGGGGGGACCCGCAGCCCTGAGGGCGCCGGAATAATTGAGGGCCGAAATACAGATCCAGGGGAGAAGGTTTGGGAGGGTGGGAGGAAGCCTCGCAGGAATAGAAAAAAGAAACAAAATAACATAGGGTTCATAAACATGCAGGGAGGCAGGAACAAAGTAAACTGGGAGTGAGATCGAGGAGCAATTAGAAAGCGAAAACTTTGCAGTGTATGGATTAGCAGAAACACATCTGAGGGATATGGAAGAACCATCATACATACAAGGACATCACTGGATGGGATGCAACCGGGCCAATGAAAAACGCAAGAGACGGAAATCAGGGGTGATAGTAAAGGGTCAGGAATGGGAAAGAAAACGAGAGGGCTGCAGGGAACACATGTGGATCAAAGGCAACTTTGGGGGTTCGGAAACAATCCTGGGTTTGTGTACCAAAAACAGGGAGTGATTCAGGGGAAGAAAATGCAGAGCACTTAACATGTGTATCAGGAGACGCTAGGAAAATCGGCACTGACAGGGAAATGATTATCTTAGGGCACATGAATGCAAACTTGGAAGACTTTGATTGACACACGGATACAACAGGGAGGATGTTAAAGGAGTTCTGCGAAGTTCTTGATCTGGTATTTGTTAACGCTCAGGTAAAATGTGATGGAAGAATAACGTGGGAAAGAAAGAACTCGCACTCAACTATTCACTACTGTTTAATGTCGCCGAAGCTATACAACATATTATGAGGTATGGAAATAGATGAGGAAGGCACAAAAATTCTGGGGAGTGACCAAAAGAAAATCAGCATCAAATTTGGCACAGTACGACCAGAAAAGCGAAATCAAAAACAAGAGCGTACAAATAACTTAAGTGAAAAAATATTACAGGAAGTATCTAAGCGAATCGAGAATATAGTATCCAAGCAACCAGAAAGAAAATGAATATATGAAGACTTAGTGTTTTTAAAAAAAAGAGCTAGAGGAAAATCAAATCAAACAAGGAGGAAGAAAACGGAAACGCAAGCTCAAAAGCTTGTGGGATAAGGAGATTAAGGCAGCAGTATCGAAACGCCAAGCGGCACCTAGAGAACACAGAGGGGCAAAGAAGAAGGGGGCCACACCAGCTGAAGTAGCATCGAAATGGGAGGACTTTCAGGAAAGAAAGAAAGACAGCGGGAGGCATCAGCATTAATACAGGCCATAATTGGGAGGACAGGGGTCCAGTGCATGATAGCGATAAACCAGAAGGTTAGGAATGCGGCGAAAAGGTTCTGGGAACACATCAGGGCACAGTGAAAAAAGACCTGAGGGGTGCCAGCAGACACTAACAGAAAAGGAAGGGACAAAGATAGAGGGGG